CAACAAAATGCTGTTAGAAGTTATGTATATATATATATATATATTTGGCAGTCGGTTACAGGAGTGGAATTCCACTCAGCTTTAAAAATCCTAATATTTTTAACATTATATTAATGTACGCAAATTTAAAATTTGAGTCATCACTTTTTTATTAGCTTTATATCTAAGCGATGTTACTATTGTTTTGTTTTGGCTGTTATTACTATTGTTTTCTATGTGGCTTTTAAAATCCTGATACATTTAATACCATACATTAAGAAATTTTCAAAATACTCAAATTAGACTTCTGCCATAAATTACCAAACACTATTTACCATAAAACTATGGGGGGGGGGAATTTAATGTTTCCTGGCATAGAATGAAAAGAATACTTTAAATGCTCATATCTTGCAGTTTTTAACAAATTTTTTTAAAATTTTAAATTTGTATTTTTGTTATAAAAAATTTTAGAAATTTGAAAAACTTCAAAATCAGAAAGAGTATTTTCTATTGTTCAAAGGAAGTGCATATATGTACATATACATGCATGTGAGTTCTCATACATATCAATAAAGTTTAAAACTTTAAAAGTTTAAAAAAGAAAAAAGTTTAAAAAAGAGATTTGAAAAGTTTAAAAAAAAGAGAGATTTGAGAGATTGTCAATAAATTAACAATGTAAAGGAGTGTTTTCAAACACCCTATCCCAAAAAATAGAGCAATAAACATATGACTTGTGTTAATTATTTTGGTTATCATATGCAATAATTGCATAAAAATTCAAAAACCTAACTAAGTATTCAAGGAAAGATGCACAGTTTGATTCAAAAAAAAAAGCTAATTTTTTACCTTACATTTTCCTATTATGATAATAGAAATGTTCAGTAAAATTACACAAAACTTTTGGTGTAATTTTATATATATATTTTATATAATTTTGAAATTTGAAAAATTTCATTAGAAATTGTGCAGGAAACAAGCATTTAAAGTAGTCCTTTCATATTGTACAAATGCAGGAAACATTTAAAAAATTTTGCAGTGAATTGTATTTGGTAACTAAAGAAAAAGACTAATTTGAATGTCTTGAAAATTTAAATGTTTTTAGCAATTTTCTAAGTAGCTTTAGTATTTTTTTAAAAAAAATTCCAAATCATAAGGGGTTTTCCCCAAATTTCATATTGTATCATAAAACGAAATTTAATAATAATGATTGTCCAGGTTACAAAATGTGATGACATAAAGAAAGAAAACATACGAAAAAAAACATTCTTTAAAAAGATATGTCCTCTAAAATGTGGGTGACATTTTCAATAAATATTGTTTAATGATACAAAATATATCAGAGCTTTCTTTCTTAAATTTTCTTAAGCTTATTAAACTTTTGATCTATTTAAATCAGACTTTTTGTCATAAGTTACCAAATACGATTCAGAACAAAATTATGAAGTAAAAAATTTTAAATGTTTTGTAGGAAAAGATTACTTTAAATCCTTATATCTTGTGCAATTTTAATGAATTTCTTTTTTCAAATTTTAAAATGATACTTTAGTTATTAATTTAAAATTACTCCAAGAATTTTGGTTCATTTTATTAAATACTTTTAGTTAAATTTCAAAATTATTATAAAAGTTAGATAATTATTAAGGAAATTTTAAAAAAATGCCAGAAACTAAAAATGTCTATTCCGGTATTGTAGGGTTGTGTGTGTGTATAGATACAAATATTCAAAAACTGCTTTTATCATTTAACTTTGAAATTAAAGTCAAAAATGAAATTCATTCTTAGACAGAATTAGTTATCTTACGAAAGATGCATTTCTTTTAAAAATTTAATCGCTGCTACAAATAAGATTTCTTAATGCTGTAATTCTATTTTTCTAAAATATTAAGAAATGTCTTAACGAAATCATAGATTTTATTAAGTATGTGTACAGACATTTAAACTATGCTTAAGTATTGTAATAAATCAAAATTTACACTTATGTTTTTCTGGACACTATTAAATGTTAAGAAATAGAGGCCATACCTTGTACAAACCTGTAATACCTAAATCTTTCATAACACTCAAGGCACGGACTTTGCGGCCAACCGCTGCAATCTCTCCTGCAACTTGAAGCCTTATTTTCACAATTTCTAAGGGATTTGTGAACATCACTTGAGATGCACCAGCCTAAATAATAAAATATAAAAAAATACTAAAGTGCAAAAACTGAAATAAACCTACTTATTGAGAAAAATAAAGGCTGCAGAAAGAATGCAGCTAGATTAAGGAGCTATATGTGCTGATTTTAATAATTTGTATCCAGCTCATTGTGTAATTTGATACAACTAAAAAATCCGAGGGTGAGAATATTGTAAAAAAGAAGGGGAAAAAACACTCAAAAGATAGAGGAGAAGAAAAAAAAGCCTGTGTAAATAGCAATCAAGAACCATTTCAAGATATCTAACAATCAAGATATTTTTTAATGCAGCTTTCATGAGGAAAATGTCTATTTCATTTCAGTTAAGTATGCAAAGATACTATTTCTGAATGAAAAATTTTAAGACTACAAATTTGTAACAAATCTCAAACAATTTTTGGCTCATTACTTGATACTATTTTTATCGAGTGGTATGGCAACAACAAAAAAAATGTTCATTGGTATTTTATGGAAGTTTGTTTCATGCTTTGCTAATCTGCACTTAATATAATTTTAATTATTTATGCGACATATTTAATGAAAAATACGGCAATCCAATAAAAATTACAGGATTTGTTCAGAAAAGTTTGCTTTTACCATCATTTTCAGGATCATGGGAAATACACGTTTTTCTTTTCAGTAATAAAATCATTCACCAATACTTTCGTCAAAACACAATCTGTTTAATCAAATGTACAATTTTATCACATTTGGCGACGTGGCAAATGCTTAGGGCAGGCCCGGAGTTTTACAGCTAGCCAGAAAATTAATCCAAATTTCAGTCTTTTTTTTTTCATGCGCTGAATAAATTTTTAACACACATAATTTGTAATTAGAACTGTTCAATGAATTTTATTAGTTTTCCCTGCTATAGAATACAAATTAGAATGTTTCACAGAAATTTACCCTTTCTCATATAATAAGACAAATTAGTTATTTTTAAGCCGATTGCAAGCTTATGTTTTGAAGCGATCTGAATAGAAACAAACTGACAGTAGTGTAAGCAATTATGAGGGGATAGAGAACACCAGCGACTGGAAGGGGGATTTTCTTTAAAAAAAACTTGCACAATGTTGATCTAATATGCTTGAATGAATTAAAGAAAAACAATAGAGAAGTGAGTAATTACTCAAACCTCTATAGTGGTCATTTTGGTATGACCAGTATAGAGATTTGATTGGTAGTCCTAGGAAATCTTCATTTCATGTGCTCAGAATATGTTCTAGTAAAATTTAATTAAATACTTTTAAGTTAGGAAAAGTCAAGAAAAAAAAGTAGTAAGCTTGTGTAAGTTTTTTAAAACTTAGTGCCTCGCAAAGTTGATTTGCGGCCAAGATGGCTGTGCCAGTCATTTTAGTGTAATGGGAACCCATTAAAGAAATTGGATATACTAGGGAAGTATTATGTTAAATCTATTGAAGCATATCTCGCTAGCTCAGTTTTAGCGAGAGATATTTTTACGATTCATAAAAATTTTTTGACCACTTTTGATGAAAGATATTTCTGAAGAGAAAAAAATCACCATAGAAAAAATTGAAAGCCATGTATCTGTTGACAATGATGATAATGACGAATATGAAGAACCTCGAGCTGAACCTGAACCATCCCCAACACACTTAATAACTATTGAATGCATAGAAAACGTTTTAAAAAGTAGGGATGAAAATTATGATATTTATCGGACCATGAATCTTACCCAAATAAATATAACTCAACTAGGACTGGGCTATAAATCGATATATCGCGACNTATCGGACCATGAATCTTACCCAAATAAATATAACTCAACAATAAGGCAGTTCAAAGTAAATTAAAATAACTAACTTCTTTTGTACTGCACAGAAAAAAATAAACAAACGAATTACAATATTTACAACGCAGTATAAATAAACTTTTACGATTTTTTCAAGCACTCGATTATTCCAGTTCCTTAGGGTTTATTATAACAAGTTTGATTATTTAAACAAAACAATTTTATACAGAAATTTATGAATAAGGTCATTGTGCCTAAATGTGAATGATTTTGGCAGTGACAAGGCCTCAATATTTTTGGCAGAAAATAATTGAAGGAAAGATTCAGAGAAAAACTGTACTTACACATCCACCGGCTAAGATTTCACCCCAGAGTGGGATCTCCCCTTTTGAATTTGTGAACTTATCCCGCACCAAGTCATTCATCTATTACCAAATAAATAAGTATATATATTACTTATAAGAATTTGTTACAATCACTATTTAACATCAACTGATGAATTCTCTTTATACCGTTAATTTAATAGCTTTCTCGGGACAAACACCCACGAGTTGGGGTATCAACCCCCTGTACAGTCCAGTGAAACCTTCGTGCCGGATGACTTTCTTCGCACAGTCGAAGCTGTTTCTGTACATCAACTCCCCAATGTAGGAACCTGTTCTTTGATTTTGCATCCTAGTTTTTACTAAATCTATGGGATAAACAACGGTTGCACCAGCAGCTATAAAAAAGGAAAGGAACATTTAGGAAAATAATGAAACATGTATTGCAAAGTTTTTATAAAATGAAATAAGCATGGAATGTTTAATACAATTCATGAAGGTAAAAAAGTAAAAATAAATAAGAACAAACAATTTGTAACAGTAACAGTTTAAATTGTAATAGTATATTTTTATTTATTTTTTTTTAATCATACTAAGCACTTCAGTAAATCTTAATTTAGAAATCAAGCATTCTATCCTTCCTAAGTCTACAACTTGAATTTCGTTAAAAGCTTAAAAAATTTGTAAGTTTACTTCACATTCAAATTACACAGTCCATAATTTATATTTTAATTTAAAACCTTTCTCAACTTTACTAAAATAGTAGCCATATAAAACCTAATTATCCACGAGAATTTTTCAAATTTATTTCTAACAAATACCTTTGGTAAAAAGTCTTTTTAAAAAAATCTTCTGAATTTAAATACAGAAATTATTAAATTGGAAATCGATTGTATTTAAATATGAATATTGTTGTTCAAATATACTTGAAAACTTAAGATGTAAATACTTTCATATAAATTACAGAATACTTTATACACAGCTCAAATATAAATAGATGCTTTGTAAATCAATAAAACAACTGAAATGTACATAGAAATGATAAGAGAAGTTTGTTTCAAATGAATACTTGTTCAATTTTACATTAAAATAAAAGAGCTTAATAGAAGCTGAAGATAAGGTGTAAAGATGTTTATGGTTACGTATTTCTTTAGTTTCAATTGTATAGAAAAAATATAAGATAAAGAACTGCTACAGCTATAAAAAGTTGTGTATTTAATCTAAAATGAGTATGTTGAATATTTTACTTTAAAGAGCACCTTTAAAAAAAACACAATGGTCAAAATACAAGGTGTCCACAAAATGACTAACCCATTTTAAACATAAATACACTGATGTGCCAAAACATTATGATCACCCCCACATTTTACAATGAACAATTCTAGATGACACGGAGGGCATGTTAAAACATTAGAATGGTATTTGGACTGACTGGAGAAGGTAAGGAGTCATACTTGCATTTAAGTTTACAAGTGATGGGATAGATTAATAATTTGAGTAAATTATTTGATAGAGGGGAGATCATGATGGCCCGAAGACTCGGAAAAAGTATGTCTAAAACTGCAAAACTGGTAGATTCGAGAAAAAAAGTAGTCAGCTAAAAAAAAATTTTTTTTTTATTAGCAACAAAACAAATGTGTAGATAAATTAGTTTGTTTTTTTTATGTTAAGACGTTTATGTTATCAAAGTTTGCATAATTATTACTATATAAAGTTGCTATATTATTAATTTTAAACACAATTTTTTTTCTGAAAAAGGAAAAGTTTCTTACCACCAGCAATAGAGCCCAATGTAAACCTATAAGCACTTTCTAATATTTGAATGCCTATACCTCGCTCAGCTGGACTCTAAAAATAAAACAAATATTGATATTTTAAAAAATTAAAAAAAAGTTTCGGACAATTCAGAATACATTCATTTACAACAAAATAATATGTTTTTTGTGCACCAAAAAAGAAACTGTTTGATTAAAGCAAAACTTAAGAATATATTTTTCAAACTTTGAAATCCTTTCATGAAAATTATTCTAAAATATTTTACTTATGTTATTATGAAAAGACAAAAAAAAATTTGATTTTCAATTTTTTTTTCAAAAACAATCTTCAATTCACAAATCACAGGAAAGCTTAAAAGTTAATATTCTCTGTAGTTTTTGAACTTTGATGCAAATGCTAAAATGTTAATCATTATTACTGTTAATTTGGCAAAAAGATATATGTAGTTGTACTCAACAAATACATACCTGCCAACTTTTGATCCGTTCCATTATGTTTTTTCCCAGTGGTAGAAAAATTGAATTAAAATTTCAATTGCAAGCAAAAAAAATATGTTATATTTTAAAATGCTTCAGCTGACAACCTTGACAGTAACGCATATTAATCTATATGCTTAATTTTTTTTAAGAATAGTGGTGATCAAAATCATTTAAAAAATAAGTTTATAAAAGAAAAAACAGTATATATTTACTACCACTTTAAATATAAAAATAAAATTTTACGCCAAGTGCGTAAAAGTTGGCAAGCACGCAAATAATATAGTACAGTACAAAACCGGTTATCCAGAAATCAGTAAACCGGAAAACCAAAAAGCCAGAACGAAATTCAATAAATTTTCCCGCCACTTTTTTTTTTTAAATGTTTTTTTCCTCATAAGATTTTAGGATTTCTCTTTTTTTTTTTGAAGGATATTTACCTTACCATCATTTTGGAAATAATCATTAGTGTATTACTTCGTTTTTTCAAGATTATTTCCAAATATTTTTTTTTTAGTTAGGTTTAACAATAAAAAAAAAAAACGGCTCTTTGCAGCGATTCAGAAAACCGGAAAAATCAGTTATCCGGAATAGCGATGGTCCCCATTGTTCCGGATAATCGGTTCCCTACTGTACCATTTTTATATTCATTAATAATACATCTTTTCAACCACAAAACTGCGTTGTACACAATAGATCAAATTATATAAAAACATCAACAACAAAAAATAATTTTAACACGTATCTATTATGTATAACTTAATATATATGAACACAGTATCCAAATATCGGTAGATACATCAAATCAGAAATTCGTAGAACATATTATTGTACATTAGATCAAAGACTTTTTTTTTTCAATTTAAAAACTTGTAAAGACTAATACTTTTTAAATCTATAAAAGGGTTGCTGAAATTTAAATCAGTTGATTTAGTTCAAGGGAGTTGTTTTTTTTTTGTTTTTGTTTTTACGAAAAATCATTGATTTAAATCACTTTACAAACTCAACTAGTCGAAAATTAGTTACTCAGCTTCAAAAAAAATTTTTAATGCAAATTAAAAATAAGAATTTCTTAGCATATTCTTTTAAATTAACGTTACTATAAATCTGAGAATAAATTAAAAACATTTCAGAATATCTTCCCCCTGTGAGCAGAAGAGATTTATATATTTATATTCATTACTAAAACTGAGAATCCAACCACTATCATTTGAGATGAGGAGGGGAGAAACTGGGTACAGAAAGATGAAATATTAATACAGGGTTCATTCTAGATAGTGTTTGCAGGAAGGGTTGCCCTTTAGTCCTTTAAATAAAAATCTTCTGCCCTGCATGTCCTTTAAACTTAAATATGCGAACATATAAAAAAAAAGGTTTATTCTTCTTTAATAAACATATCAAAAATATAACAATGAAAAAAGGTTTATTCATTTTGTAATTCCCCACATAATACTCCGATTGTATTTTCGGAAGTAATTAATCATTTTTCAGCCATTTACCTGCCGTTTTTCAAATTCCGATATATTTAATACACAATTATGACAAGCGAATTTTGAATTAAAGATATAAGTTGTTCGAAACGTTTGATTTAAGAAGATTTCATTGATTTTTCCATTGCTTGATGATAGTTTTTTGGCATTTTTCACAAGGTGTTACAAACTCTAATACCTTCAATATGTTATTGCGACGTGCAAATTTCGAATTTGAGTAAGCACATTTAAATCTGTAACTCAGCATTTTACAACTAATTTTCGTAACTATTATGGAAATTACATAGTAATAGGAGGGCATGTAACTCTGTCTACATATTTAGAAAAATTTTACAGAATCAAAATATGTGCAATTAAATGAATTGATACAATAAAACATAATAATTATAGCAATCAGTTTTTTTTAATTGCTTTTTCAAAGCAAAATTTATTCTTATTCAAAACGTATGATTCTACAGGTGCTTCATTAATAAAAAATAATTAAGCAGAGATTATTACATTAAAAATCTTTGAAAACAGAAAAATATTATAAAAATTAATAAAATAAATTATCAAAAAAATGAATGGATAAAAAAAATTTTATCTCTCAAAAAAAATTTTAAAAAAAGATCTTTACATCAACTAATAAGGAATGAAGAATTTTTTTGATCAAGCATAAAAAAATAGCCTTCCAAATTTCAACGAAATTTAAACTGATAGTAAAAGAAAACAGTAAAAAATACATATATCTTGCTTATTTTAAATACATTCAAATTTCTTACTTTTACTGCTTTCATTTCTGCTAAAGGCCTAGATAAAAATTTAGTTGGTCTATGTGGAGCTATAAGTTCTATATCATCATATGTTACTCTCCTACAAGAAAGAAATAGAAAATACAACATGTTAGGAAATTGCAGTTCTGTGAACTTGACAAAGATAATATCTTAAACATTTTTAACCAATTTATGCATACATTTTACATTGTTAATAACAATTTTAAAGAATTCTCTCTCAGTTAAATTAAGCTATTCTACAAAAATTTCTATTCTGTGTTAAAACTCAGTCAAAAAATGGATATTTTTTAAATATCAACAAAGCTAAATATTTTAACTTGTATAAGTTTCCACAATTTTAAATTTTCTTAAATGTTTCACAAAAAAACTTCATTAAATTTTAACACATTTTACCACCCTTTTTTTAAACTATTTTTAGTTTCATACAAATTTAATCTTAACATAAAAAATTGCACATTTTAATTATTTTCTAATTTAAAAATATTATAAAGGTTTTAAATGTTATTTCCTCATATTATCATGAACCAAATTGTAAAATGCAAAAGAGGGAGAGAGAGAGAGAAACAAATTTAGCACATTTAGCCATTCTAAAACACTTTCAAATTATTTGTTACATTATCTGCTATATTTCATATTATTAAGTTATATTACCTTGTAAAATTTTATTAAAAAGCAAACAAAAAACAAAATTTAATATAGCATGAAATTTTTCAATATGTCCTTAGTTTTGGGGAAAAAGTTCAATTAGAAACCAAATCTAATTTTTGATTTCAAGAAAAACAAAATTTAAGATTAAATAACTCATAAAACACACATTTTATGCAAACATACAAAAAATAACTAACAATAAATTAAACAACTTTTAAAATATAAAATTTAGAACTTAATTTGATCAAAATTGCAATTTAAAAAAGCTTTTGTTATAAATAACAATCACTTGTGAGGAATTTTGGCTAATCTCACTAGAAATTAAGACTATAAATAAGTTTTACTTTAAATGCTTAAACTATATTAGAAATCTGAATCAATAAATATAATGCATGAAAAGAAAGCAAAAGAATTATATTTCAAGTGCTGAAAGAGAATTTTGAAACCTACCCTGTGTCAGCATGCATAAATCCAGCCAATTGGAATAAAACATCTACTTCTAGGGGTGTTATTTGGGACATTTGCTGAGCAGCATATAGAAATTCCTCTGCAATAAGAAAATGAGCATCCTGTGAATTTAAAATTAAAGACGCAGTATAAATAGGATGATAGAATCTTTCAAGGTCTCGCTATTTTTGAGCAAACCCCCAAAAAGTTGTGTGATTCTTCCCAAAAGGTGCCTCGTGAGTTATGATGGTGATCTCATTCCAAAGTGCTCATAATCAAGAGCTCATATTCCTTGTTCAAACAACACATGGCAAAATGTATGGTCATCAAATTTTCTGCAGTTGGCTCTTGATAAGCTAAGTGCTGCACCAAAACATCCTAGAATTATGATGAATGAGCCACAGAAAAAAAATTGTGATAGAAAATTCATAAACATTGATTAAAACTAAATTTTTAAATCTTTTTAACAATTTAAAAAATATATATAATTTAAGGTAGAAAAAAAAACAGTTCCTACCCATTTGTATTCATAGGAATTTCCATTCATACATAAAAAGAATACTAAAATAACACAGAAATTAATGCAGATTTGATACAATTTTTCACATGCAACGAAAACAATTTTCATAAGAATTTCACATTTTCTAATAAACAGCGCCTTTATATATTGCAATGAAATTAATGTAATAGTTTATATTAAACATGAAAATAATCATTTAAGAGTGATTATTTATACTCTACTCTTTGAAATCGAGATTTGAAATTACAAGCATCATTATCCTCTTCATATAAAAAAGCAAAAGAAAAATAAATAAACCCCTAATTATTCAAACATTGGTTAACTGAGATCTACAACTAAACACATTGGAAAATACTGCAATATTTTATTGTAATGTACTTAGTGAAATATAAACCAAATCATTGATGGAAGTCTCAATCTATGTAATAAATCAAAAATACATTTTAAAATAAGCATTGACACAAATGATATGTGCTCAGATATTTTGCTGCTACAATAAAATAGCTTGAAATGGTTAAACTAAGGTTCATCTTTGGCACGGTTCAGCATATTCATTCCAAGGCTGATAATGCATGTTTTGACCATCAAGACTGAAACATGGTTCAACAAATTTATGGTTAGAGTAATCCTTTTCAATGGGGACTCTGGTTCTCTTCAGTAACTAATAAATGTTGAGCATGGCATTATAATAATTAGTGATAACTGTGAATTGAAATAATATCTAATACTAACCTTTTGTAACCTCTACATTAGTGTTGTTTTTAGTGAAGTTAAGATAAACTTTTTTAACTAACTCCATGTTGTTCAAGAGGGTGTTGAATGCCATGAAATATGGAAATGAAACTTGATGACCAGCAGTACCTCCAGCAGCCTACAAGGAAAATTTTTTTAAATATTTCATGAAATACTAAAACAGCATACCCACATACACCTGCTGTCTAAAAAAATAGACACAACATTGGATTGTTATACCCCAATAAATTTTTGCAAGACACGGTTGAAAATATTTTGGGCCTAAGAAACTAATTCTTCCACACAATAATGTCTGCACACAAATATTGTCAGTCTGAATCCCACAGACCTACGAAAATATAATTTTGAAAGCTTCACATTTTAAAAAAATTGTTTTTCAATTTTTAGATTTCTAGTGCTGTAACTGTCGAAAGAGTAGTTAAAAAAAAAACATGAATTCATGATGGGATAGGCACAATGGTGATCACTCAAATTTTTATTTTATTAGAAAAATATAAATTTAGTTGTATTTGCCAACAAACTTCTTTAGTTTCATATCTTTGGAATTTACCTCTGAAACTTTTTTGGGTCCCAAGAAATTGCACCATGCTCTAAGAAATTTCATCATAAAACCTACTATAATATAGTGCATAAGCCCCACAAACAATTTGCGGGTTCTACCTCTCTAAATTTAACGCACCCCTAGAAACTTCAGTCATCTATCTCCTGAATCCAGTGGACATAAGAAAATAGGAAGGTAGATAGCAATTTCGCTTAAGGTCAAGAAAACAGCAAGATCAAAAGCTGTTCACTCAGGTCCCTAGATTTTTAGATTAAATTAATCATTTTAATTAATGACGCTATTTCATTTAAACTTACAAAAAATATGCCCTCATTTTCGTAAAGACACTGATCAAATATCCCAGTTAAAATTATAACTTAGTAATACAATAGAACCCCAATAGGTCAATTCTCCTGAGGCAATTCATTGTGAAGGATGGATAAGGGGAAATTACGAATATATGTTAATAGAAAATATAAAAAATCATGAAAATCAATTAAGTAATAGTAAATTAATAAATTAACAATAAGCATAAAAACTTTTAATTGAAAAAAGTTATGCAGTTATTGCAAAAATATTTACAATGCAAAAAATAGTTGAATAAACACATTGATTTATTTAAAATATTTAGAAATATTTTGGTTTGAACACTATCTTTTTTTCTCAGTACAAACAACAAATTTCTGAAATTCGTAACATATTACTTTTCATTTTCTGTAAATGTGTGTGAATACTGAAAGGTCTTCGTAGTTTAAAGCCTTCTACAAATGTTGGCACTGGTTCTGGTTTGGCAGTCTTCATGGTATCACTTTGCTCTTCTTCAGTTCCTGAAACCATTTTCTTAAACCAGCATCACACAAGTTTCACCATTTTCATCAACTGGTGCGTAGACATCAAATCTAATGTTTGAGGCATGTTCTCCCAAACTATAAATGTAACAGTTGTCCTCATTCTGTCTGAGTGCTTAATCATAGATAATGTTGGCAGATAAATAATTTACCATAAACCATAATGATGAAACATTTTCTGTTTTCAACTCAGCTACCACCTTTTTTCTGGATTCATCTTTCACCTTTATTTTCCATTTTTTCATTGGAACTTTACCTTTTCCGTTTCAAATCACTTTGATTTTCTCCATTCGCATTTAGCAAATCTTGAGAATGAGTGTGTATTTGTGAGCAACATGTTGACTCTTATTACCATCTTTATACTTTTTGAAGCAAATAAAGTTTATATAATCAGGTAAACATTGCAGCTTCAGTTTCTTAATAATTCAACTAATTAATTTAATTCATTTAATCCATTTAATAATTCATTTATTAAACTCAGTCAATAATAAAAAGAGCAAGAGAAAAAATAAATAAAAAACTCCTACTAACTGCAACTAAGTTCCTGCGCACATCTTCACTGAGTAAGTGACTTTTTACTGACACCATGATATTACTGAAGTCCATGGCTGATATCAGACCTTTCTTATTCTTGTCATATGTTCGAAAAGCCTGAATAGCATGCTCTTCGTGGAAATCCTATAAAAAAGGTAACTAAATACAAGTTTACAAATATAATTATTAGTAAAACTGAATTATTTTAAATTTAATTTAATTTTACGCATGCATTTCAATAGTATCGGAATATTTTATGCATAAAAAATAAGTAAATGATACATCAAATATAATTATTTCCAATTGTCACTTATTCTATCTCTATACTTCTTACTTTCCTAACTGAAAATGATTAATGGATGTTTTCTTTAGCCAAGTGATTGCAGATACAAATATGGAAGAAGTACAACATAAATGTACAAAAAAGCATCATTCAAGTCATCTGCACTTTACAATTAAAAAATTAATAAAAAATAATATAATGTAATTAATGAGTAATTAATTTCTACATTTATAATATAATATAATTAATGAGTAATTAATTTCTACATTTATAATATAATGTAATTAATTTCTACATTTTGCAAACAGTTGTTTTAAGGGTAATGTAGATGATTTATTCAAAAGAAAATTCGATTCTTGAAACATCAGAATTTCAATATATTACACAGCATCCATTTTAATTTAAAAGAACTATCTTAATTTGTTAAATACTGATATACATAGATGTACAGGGCAGACAATTATCTAGAAATATATACCTTCACTTAATTATAATCAGCAAGTGATGTTGCATTTTATTTGTAGAAAATAATGTGATTCAAAATTGTGATTCAAAAAACCTTTGAAAGTAAGAATAAAATATAAAGTTTTCTAAAACCAATTTCAAAACCAAATAAAATGAAAATGAACATACGTGAAGTAACTGAGTGAATTCATTGTAGCTGAGTTCCCTGTTTTTGTCAGCACCAAAATGTAACTTAAGAAATTCACTTGCAAAATTAAAAGGTATTTTCTCATGAAGTGTTGTGTGCTTGATAATCTCTTCAAACTCATCTGAAACATAAAAGCAGTTTCAAAACATCAGCAAAAAAAAATTCAATAAGTTACAGATCAATACATTCTGTGAAATATGAAGCAAATTATAATATATATGATCCAAAATGAGTATTAAAAAGCAGTCTAATTATTCAAATTTATATTCAGAGAGGTAGCTTTTATTTTTATTTTAATGGCATTTATATTCAATAGGCAAAACATTCAAACAAAAATTGATAAAAAAAAAAGCAGGAGAAACCTAAAAAGGCATTGATTGAGAATGAGTTAAAACTAGTTTTCAAGTCTAAGATTATTTGGTAGGTCAAATTTTGTGATCACCACTCAATCCTATTTTCCTTTAAATAAGTTATTTAGATTTCCTTCAAATAAAAATTTACTACTGCACTTTATTATTATCCTCATTTATTATTATGTTACTGATTTTTATTATTACTAGGAATTAAAAGGACGCCCGGTGGCTGAGCGGTAGCGCTTCGCGTTGTCGTGCCACAGGTCCCTGGTTTGATCCTCGGGCCGGGTAAGGTTGACTCAACCTTTCATCCCTTCAGTGGGTCGATAAATGAGTACCAAGCATGCTTGGGAACTAAACACTGGGGGTTCCGCGTTCAGCTGACCACCTGACCGGAACATCTGCTCCTGCACCCCAGAGCCCAAGGTCAAGAAAACTGAGATGGGCACAGTAGGCCTTGGCCCTGTCTGATATATCCTTATAAATATTAATGTGATAAAAATGTCTTATTCATAATAAAAAAATTTAATAACAATTTTATAATTATTAAACTGTTATGATAAGATAATTAATTAACATAATAAGTAGATCAGTTAGATTTACCTTTTGATACATTTCATGCATAGCTGAATCTATTCAACACATGCTGAGACAAGATAAATATTTAGAATAGCAAAATATTTGAGATAATCATTTAACAGTACAATTACCGAAAATCTTCTTGATAAAAAACAACAAACTTTAATACTACAAAAAGTTTGCTTGTGATTACTGTTTAATTTGGAGAAGAGAATCTGAATCATGAAAAGACTAGATCAGGTAGCAGACAAAGTACTCAACATAAAATTTAAGATACCTTCTGGGACTTCAAATTGCATCACACAATTGATGCAATTAGAATATGAATTCAAGGGGTATCCCCACTAACTCTTAAAGCTGATGTAAAAACCAAAACAGAAGAATGTTAGTACACGAGTGCCGTTTATTTTGTGTATATATCTCTTTCCGATATGTTCAAAATAAATATATAATTTGAACAACATTTTGTCATTTTAAAAAATCAGAGAATGCTCTCAACAATTATTGATCTTATCAGGAATCCTATCCTTTGGCAGAGATTCCTGAGAAAAAATATATTTTATGATATATTTTGGAATTGGATCAACAAAAATACCTATATATCTATTGTCAATTATGTTAATGAGGTCTTGATTTATACCACAACACAATGAAAGAAATTTAACATTTCATTCAATAGAATTAGATACCTTTCAACTAATAATTGAATTTTAAAAAAACCTATTTTGTACAACAACAAAAAAAGATTAGGAAGCATTGAAGCAACTACTGGATCAATGTAAAGCGAACAGAAGGGACACAGTACATCAAAATTACAAAAAGAACTGAAACTTTCTATGATTATTTTCTCTTATATTTGTTAAAAAAATTAAAATTCCGTTTGGTTAACTAGATAATACTAAATAAAGGAAGTAGTCATTATATTTCAAAAATTTACAGCACTGCAACCTTTCCTCACCACAAAATTTTGTTAGCTACAAAGTACAAGGGGACATTAAATAACTTTAAAGCACTTTTAACTATACTTTATTTAATTCTGATGACAAAAAATACTTTTATAAAATAATAATTTGTTCATTTATCAATAATGCAAAAATGAAACATCTTAGAATTGAATAACACAAAAAAAAAAATCCTACCCAGTGTAATTGAGCCTGAGCCATTTGTATCAAAAAGTTGAAAAGCAGTAATGTAGAGAGCATCTGGACGACACAGTACAGCTTCAAAAGCTTGGAATTCCAAAAATGATATCAACCTAAAGATACATTTATAAACAGATAAATTATTTAGAGAATCATAGATACCAGCAAACTTTAACATTTTTGTTCCTGATTTTTGAGTAAAAAATATCTATAAGACATTAATATTATCCTGGAATATTAATTCATCCACCTCGTAAAAAGTTAGTGCTGTGCAGAAAATGCAGCTAAATACTTTTTAATATTGTTGCAAAGATGATTCATGAATTAACAGATTTTTTTATTTACAAAATATTATCCGGGAATATTAAATAAAATTACCCACAAAAAGTTAATGCTATGCAGAAAATGCAGCCAAATATGTTTTAATATTGTCGCAAAAATTACTCTTGAATTTTTTTAATATAAAAAATATTATCTTGGAATATTAATTATAGATAAAAATAAAGCATTCTCGCAACAGTCCCTTGTATGCCAGGAGAGTAATAGAGGATAAGGCTCAACAATTTCATGTCCAACAGCATTATTGTGACAATGTGGTTAGCACTTCGCACAAACCGCCTTTACTTCCCAGACAAGATGCTACCACTCATCGATCTGAAGCTGGGTGGGCTTCAAGCTACTACTGGGGATCGAACCCCAGCTCTTCACAATAACAGCCAAGTGCCTTAACTACTGAACCATTGTGGCTCATTATGTTACAGCCCTGTAAAAAGTCAATGCTATGAAGATAATGCAGCTAGGCATGTTTTAATATTGTTGCAAAAATTATTCTTGAATTTACAATTTTCTTTATTTTAAAAATATCCTAAAATATTAATTTATCCACTTTGTAAAAAGTTAATGATGTACAGATAATGCAGCTAAATATGATTTAACATTGTTGCAAAAATTATTCATGAATAAAAAAAAATTTTATTTGAAAAATATTACTCTGATCTACCTTGTAAAAGGTTTTCAGAAAAAAACCGTTAAATATAATTTAATATTGTTACAAAAATATAAAAATACACTTGTTTTAAAGTCTAGAAGAAAATCTTAAAACCACACACAATATTAGAAAAAATGTCTTACCCATCTTTAGAAGTATCCAAAATACTTCCAAGCAGATGAACAGTTTTTGGGTTAAAGTTTTGCTCCTCATAAATTCCCAAAAATCTTCTTACAAAATCATCTGGTGTCATAAAATAATCATCTCCTTTTTTAACACTAGCATACTGAAAAAAATAAATTTATGACTATTAGCAATCCAAAATTTATGATAATCTTATAGATTGGCATTGAGCGATTCTGCCACACTTTGGAAGTTATGAATCCTTATGAACCAGGACATATTTCTGGGTACCCTTCAAATAAAAGTGGGACTATTTAATATATGAATTCTCAACTTCTTTATCCATTTATTAATGTTTGCATTCATAATATTTTTTCTATTTATAGACAAAACAAAGAATTTCAAATCAATATGAATTATCAAGGCTGTCATTTAGCACTGAAAATAAAAGCCTAGAATCAGGAAAAGCAAAAATGTAATTTAGCACTCAGTATTGTTCTAATTTTCCCCTTCAGCTATTAGTAACAACAACAAAAAAAAATTTTAGTATACATATTTAAAGCTTGGTTTTAATTATGATAAACCACCTGCAAATGCTCTATTTTTTCCATACTGTAGTCATTTTTCGTGTGCCCTATTTAATGCATTATAGCTCGTGTAACAGAATTATTGGCAATGTATGAAATAGTAAAAGATACATTAAAATGCAAAAAAAGGGGTAATAAAAAGTTTTTAAAAAAATATTTTAGTTTTATTTTCAACAAATATTTTATACAAATTGAATAAAATATTTCAAAAACTTGTAGTAATACCTTTAACAAGAATAATTGTGTTTAAAATTTTATCTTTAAATATTTGTACTGGATTTCTTTGTTCAAATTTCCAGCACTATTATAATTATTGCATGTATATAATCTACACATAAATACTAAATCATATTTACAGAACTGACAGCAATTATAATTTCTTTGTTAACTTTAAAATTTCATCTTATCTCTTAAATAAAATTTAAATCTTCTCTTTTTTTGATTTTTCTATTTGTAAAAAAAAATAGTCTTATACCCAGGGATGAGATTAGCCAAAAGGCAAAAAAGCTGAATTTCCACGATAGTAAATTTTACGNCATCGTTGTATACCAGAATCAAAATAGCTAATTTCAATAATTATCAAACCTCTTATTTGTTATATACAGAAAAAGACTCCATCTTCTATAGTCAAGCAGTGAAAAGAATGTTTCCCATTATGAAAACAAGTAAACCCCTTTCTTTATTCCTCTTATATAGTTATCGAATTTTTTATCTCAATATGTTACATTATAATTAAACAAATATGTGTACAGTGTCAACTAAGAAAAACCTCAGCATGTTACAACGTGGATAATAGAATTTCAATAACTGACAAGAAAGTTTTGTTCTGGTATTATTCTCTGGAGTTTCTAAATTACCTACTGTGCAGACTTACTGCCCAGACTAAAAGTCTGGGGCTGTCTGCTGCTATGGTAACAAGCGAGGAGGGCACATCTCTAATAGGGGTGCAATGGAGGAAAGAAGGTGTCGATTGGTTTAGTCACGCCGAACTATGCCAAGAATTCAAGAATTAGACAAAACTATTCACCCCACACCCCTATTTGAAGTGACTTTTCCTCGTAACCATAGTACCCACAAGGGCATGAGAAGGATGTCTGAAAGAGTTCTCCTGAAAGCCGCACAATACACTTCTTAATAAGCCAAGACAATGAGAGACAAGAAGAATGAATAGAATTTCAAATACCATTAATAAAGATACATACATAAACTGAGTTACAAATGTGAGGAAGAAAGAGAAAGCAAATAAAAAACAATAATGAAATCAATAATAGTATATTTGTTCTATGTTAAATTCAAACATTTTCAGGTTTAGAAAGAAGGAAAAAATTGAAATGAAAAAAAGTTATAGATTTTTTTACAGGTTTCTCAAGATAGTTATATTCTTCACAGTGGAAATTTAAGATTCTTTTGTTTTTCAATTCGACTTGTTAATAGCTTGAGACACAATATATATACAACTATAATTTTCCCAACTGTAAAATACCCGAGTATTGAAAAGAAATCTATTCACAGACTAGCCCATTGTGAAATGTTTATAGTTAACTGCTTTATTTTATAATTCAAAAAATGTAATTTTGCTAATTTAACTTGGCATAACATTTTTAACCGACATTCCAACAGTTTGACTAGCTAAGAGATAGTCTACTGAATTTTCAAGATAGTTTCAGTGCTAAAATGGTACTAACTACTCTCCTTTTATTTATTCATCAAGAAATTCAGTAACAGTTATCAACATGAAGGAATAATTACTATTAGTGTTTATAGAGCCTACATTTTAAATACAGGTCACAAAAAAATTACAAAGCTTACAAAGTCATAAAGAACTAAATTGAAAACTAATGTTATCACTAAACAAGAAAATTAATTTTAAAATTAAAGTATTTCAATAAATAAAAGCGTCAATAATAAAACCACAAGTCATTTATTTTAAAAAAAAATTTAATTAAGAAGGATTAAAATAATTACTTTTTCAAAAATTTCCTGAAGTTTTTCTGGATCAGCACGTCTGGTATATTGAGAACCCTAAAAGTGAAACACAAATAATTTTCAGATTTTACACTATGCTCTTTAAAATTCTACATCACAGCAATTTAAACTATATTATAAGATTTATATGGAGCAATGGGAAAAGAAAGGTAACACATCTAGCAAAAATTCATCATGGTTAAGAATAAAAAGTCACAGAATCATAAGATATGCGTCTAGGATTAATGCAATCCTTATTGAGAACTAATTTTAACCAGCAGCAATTAATTTGTTCAGTATAGTTTATATCATTTTGACCTTCTACAGCAAATATATGAACCACTGAAAGAAGATGCTGAACAAATAAAATAAAAAAATAATAATTGAAACAATTTTATTAAGGTTGTAATGTAAAAACCATTACTTTTTCCCCTAAATATATATATATAAAGATAAAACAACAAAACTGACATAAGGTTATAAACATGTCCATGAATAATTTACATTTAGAATGAAATTTATAAATAATAATTATTATAAGGTTTATTAATAAGGTTTTATCGACGTACTATACAAAGATTTCATACAGAAAAAGTGAAATTGTAATTTGTAGAAATAAGTAGCAAAACAGAAACAAGAAAAATTTAACACCTGTTGTTCCTTGATTAAGTGCCACAGCAACACTTGTACAGAAGTTAGAAGAAAAAGATTTACACAGACATAAAAATTTTTAAGATATTTCTAATTGATATCGAGTTGTCAGTCTCTTTTTATATGTAGCACCAACTAAAATTAGCAAATGTGAGTGCGTGTATCATTATATGGTGAAAATTATACAATCCTGGGCTTTTTTGCCCAATTATAAATTTGATCATGATGGCAAATGACATATTTACAAACAACGTTTTCGGACACATACACTGAAATCTGACATCCATAAAACATGGCAGTAAGTTTTGGCATTTAAAACTTTTTATCAGTCAACACTTCCTTTAAGAACAACTAAAAAAACTATTTCATACAGTGCTTGCCTCAATCGCTTTTCTAATGATATGGATAACAATGTAAGGGTGAACTAGACTTCATTGTTACAATATAACTAGTATTTACTAAGGCAAATAATTATTTGCTTCAAACTTCTAAGTAGGGGGTAAAATAACTTTCAAGCAGGTTATTTTAAAAATTCAAAACTATTGTAACATAATGATTGAAAAAAAATATCAAATTAATTTGCTAAAAATTTTTAAAAAATTTATTGAATTTTAAAAAAAATTTATGGAACTTTTTAGTGTTAACATTTTTGAAGTAGAACAGAAACAAAGTGATCTATGATAGGTCAGTAATCCTTCTCAATTACTAAAAAATAACTAAACTTAACTCAGTGGCACGACAGCCCATCGAGGGCCAAGGCCTACTGTGCCCTTCTCAGTTTTCTTGACCTTGGGCTCTGGGGTGCAGGAGCAGATGTTTCAGTTAGGTGGTCAGCCAAACGCGAAACCCCCAGTGCTTAGTTCCCAAGAATGCTTGGTACTAATTTATCGACCAATTGAAGGGATGAAAGGCTGAGTCAACCTTGCCCGTCCCAAGGATCCTAATAAATAATTGCCTTAATAACATTCGATGTATGCAGAGTTTAATGTATTAGTTTTTCAATATGAAGCAATTCATTTTAAAATGTGCACTCCCAAAAAATTTTCTCAATTTTAATCAGATTTTTTTTATTTATTATTATTTACCAGCCAAATCATTTGATAAAATATATTAACAGTACTTAATATTATTTAAAAACAATAATATAACTAAAATAGTAGACATTAACAAAAGTGTTTCAAAAATTATTATTAGATTATTACAAACTAATCACTGAATAAATAAAATCATGATTATTTTTTGTTAAAGTAAAACATCCTGAAACTTTAAAAACATGGAAGCAATTTGTCAGTTAGATATCCAATAATTTAGTTTAGATCAGAATATATTAAAGAAAAAAAAATTGATTTTAAGTTTCTTTGGGCAGAACAAGTGTATCTTCAATATTGATGAATATTAATTATATATTTTATACATTTTAAAAGCAAGTTTTCAAATAAACATAAAACTAAATGAGTATAACAGAAATAAGTTTATTACTAGCAAATTTATTTTCTGTACAGCTAATGGAAAATAATTATTTAACAGTTTAACATTACTTTAATTGACTTCAAGTCTCCAATTTTATTCATACATAAGTCTAATTTGAAATATAATAATTTACCCTTTCATTATTTCCTAGGATTAAATCTTCATTATCAATGAAATCAGACTTTATAAAGAACTACACCCTAAAGAATACATTTATGATAATATTTTTGATTTAATAATTTATTTAAAAAGTATAAACTGGTTTAATAGTTCAATGATTTTCTTTAAAAAAAATTAAAAATAAAAACATAGTTGATTTAAATCAATATTTTTTTTAAAAAAAAATTATTTAAATCACAATTTTAACTATGATTTTAAAGTATCTAAAAGATTAGATAAAAAAAAAACTTAGTATTATAATACAGCATAAATTAATTCCAATTAAATTAATATATTTCAGGATAGAAATTATAAACAAAAATAACATAGTAACAGAGTTCTCCCTAGGAATAATAAAAAGTGCAAGGTGCTCCCTCTCTGAAAAGGACACTTTGAGTTTTAAAAGAATCTCACTTAACAACATAAAAATTTATCAAAATATGAAATATTCTGTAATAACTGAATTTCATTCACAACAATTTTTAAATAACCCTTTTATACTATTATATGTGTATATTTCAAAAAGTAATTTTCTCTCATTCCTCTCTCTTTAGAGTAATATTTCTCATCAAGAGAAAAATTTGCAGTTTATAAAAATAATTAAAGGCATGCTAAAAAGCAATCTCTATGCATATTTTTTTTAAAAAGTAAACTAACAAAAAATGATTAATTGACAAAAAAATTAAAAGCTTTTTGATATAATTTAAACAGTAAATTATAAGAAAATAAACATTTAAAGGGGCATTTAAAAAAATATTTATTAAAAAAAATAGTTTAAAAATTTAAAATCACTTAAAAAGTTTATTAATACTACCCCCCTCAAAAAAAAAGATAGTTAGTCAAAAGAAAGTTAAAAAAGAAAAAGATTTTACCAGTTGAGAATAATTCTAACAAGGTAAATATTTGTAATAGTAGTCAGAATTAAACCTATAAAGACAGATAATTTTACCAGTGTTAAATTATTATTTAAACAGTGAATTATTAGTATTTTTCTTTTCAAAATAAAATATTATTAAAAAGGCAGAGTCCTTTTAAGTGATAAATTCTTATTTTTACAAAAACGGCACATTTATTAAGATTAAAGGGCTATCCTTCAAAATAGCACTTAGTAATGTTATGAAATCTTAAAACAATGCTTAAATAATAAGCAGAATGCAACTGACAATAATTCAAGATAAAAAATTTAAAAAATTACACTAAAAAGAATAACAAAATTAAAATTGAGTATAAGATTTGGGATTTTCTTGTCTTGTTTAATTATTTGAAAAGCACAATAACTCACGCAATTTTCTTTGCAAATAATTACAACTTTTGACTCAGCACAGCAACAGCATGCAATATAGTGTACATAATATGTTATTAAGCAACAAATTTAAGTTTTAGTATCTTAGGAAAAAATTAAAACAACTTTGAAAGTTATTTAAAATCCATAGTTTCAGGTGGATTTATTTAATACATAAATAACTTCGATAATAAATAACGATAAATACATTTTGATTTGAAACCTTATAGAGTGTAATATTTTTTAAATATAGATAGGTAGACCAGAAAATTTAAATTTTTAGCTTGTAGCCAGTGGCTGATAGACTAATAACTTAGTAGTCACTTTTTTTTCAAACCTAATGAGTCGATGAGCGATATATCGATAGAGCCATTTCATTTAATAGCGACTTTTTACAAACATTTTTTACAAGGATTAAATTTATCTTAAAAAAGATTCATATTAGAAATAATCTATGGCTATAAAAAATTAAATCAACAGTAGAAATAAAAATATGTGACAAAATTTAGTTAAACAGCACTTTTCCATTTCACTGGCACAAGCAATAAAGTTGCCAATGAAAAATCACTGAGTCAACATAAATTCAACATCTTTTTTTTTTTTTATGTCTAAAAAAATATAGAAATAAAAAAATAATAACAACTGAATTTACTTGCACCTGTGAAATTGAAGAGTACCAGTTAAATATACAGATTATAAAGAACTTTATTTAAAAATATTTGAGAAGGCAAAATACATTGAATGTGTACACATCACAACTTTGAAATATGTGAATTGTTAACGAACTCTCATTCTACATGATTCTTTCCATTTCAAATCGACAGATTCTGAAGGATCAATTCTGTTTTCTAGAGTTTTGCTGCATTGATGTATTTTTATCATTAACAATTTTAAAAAAAATTAAAATAAAGCAAACTTGTAAAACCTCTAAGCAAGGTGACATACATTTTTAAATCTATTCCAAGTGCTAGAACAAGGCAGTTTACCCCCTTGGGGTAAACAGGTACAGATAGAGAAATATCCCTAATTTATCCCTACTCTTTCTTTATTTCAAGGTTTGAAATAACCATGAGATTATTCATTTATTTAAAACATTAAAGTTCTAATAAAAGTTGAGTTGAATGCATGGTTTGATGAATTAAAACATGCTGAATTTTTAATATAGACAATCTAATTAAATAAATTTTAAAGCACATAAGTTCAGAAATATCACTATAAATAAAGAAGAGATTTTAAGTTCAATAGCAATAATATAAAAATACAGTTCACAAAAAATTGTTGTAACAGATCAACAACTCTAAATAAGAATAATATACAATTATTTTATTTCTCAATAACGAGTGATCATTTACTGCTAGAATGAGAAGTAATTGTTAAAAGTTAATAGATAGAAAGCAGAAATAAAGTCAACCCCATAATGAGACAAGGTCAACAAAGGTCAAAAACACAAGTCATAAAAGGAGGAATGAGACAAAATAAATGCGGTTTTGAGCAAATGTTTAAACGTGCTAATCTTTTAGTTTGCTGAAGTAAATATAGATAAAAGGAAATGAGGGGGAAGATCAAAATAAATAAAAGAAGAGTTCTTTGATATAAAACAAGAGTAAGTCATACAGGTCATTAAACAAATACAAATTCAAAAATAAATATAGTTTAAGAGAGGTATGAAAAAAGCTAAATGCAATGCAAGGTAAAAGTATTTTAAACTGATAAAATATAAAGCACATTAAAGTTAATAAATAAATGTAGTTTAACTTGATCCAACAACACTCCATAAGTTTGCTATGTATGGATGAAATAAAAATCAAAATGCACACCTACATATCACAATTATAACAAAAGTCTCAGTATTTTTTTTTTTTAATGATTTACATTCATTGTACACTTGCTATACCTCAAGTTGGCATGATGCTCTTGTGAAGACGTAATCAAACAGCAATTGTTTTAGCATGCCGGCCTGCGATAAAAAAATATAATCAAATAAAAAGAAAATAGGAAAAAACCAAACAAAACAATGGTAAAATAACATGCTCAAACAAAGAAAAGTTTTAATTCTTTACCTTCTCATCAGCAAAAACATCACTTGTAGTTGAGGCCATAGTTTCCAGACATGCAAAACAATTCTGAACCAGACGATGGACGGATGTAAACATCGACCGATGGTTACAGTTTACGTTGATAAGAACAGATATTAAACTAATATGAAGGAAACTATTTTGGCAGCCGCTGTAGTTCCATCATATTAACACTGCAAATCTGTGGCGACATCATAGATAGGAGAGCGCCAAGACAATTATCACGCAAAGATTTGACGGACAGCTGAGTTTTGCGCGGAATTCAATTGAAAAGATATGCTCTCCTTCATCTGTATAAGAAATACGCAATCTTATGAAGGATATAACTTTTTTACATAGCAATTTGAGGTAAAAAAAAAAATGTAAAACTTTATCTAACTTATTTACCGCTTCACAATGCTTACATTTGCTTTTGTAAAACTGAGCCAAGTCAACATATGCAATTAAAATAAATGAAAATTAAAGAATCTACTTTTCACATCTTTACTAAAGAATCTTTTTTGGCCAAAAAACACTTAATGAATTTTTATTGTAACAAAACGAAAAAAAATAAAGAGATATTTAAAACCTAAAATTTCAGAAAAAATTGCAATGATAAATCCTTAATGATCCTAATCATTATGATGATTAGGTTCAAATTTTTTCTCCAAAATAATCAAGATCTAAATCGGTGTCAAAAGAATATTAAAAATAAGGTAATCTTTCAATTCTAAACTAAAACTAAACTCAGTTACGTGACAGCCCATAGAGGGTCAAGGCCTACTGTGCCCTTCTCAGCTTTCTTGACCATGGGCTCTGGGGTGCAGGAGCAGATGTTCCGGTCCGGTGGTCAGCCGAACGCGCAACCCCTAGTGCTTAGTTCCCAAGCATGCTTGGTATTCATTTGTTGATCCACTGAAGGGATGAAAGGCTGAGTCAATCTTGCCCGGCCTGAGGATCGAACCCCGATTTTTCAATTCAATAACATTTAATTAAGAATCTTTTTCTGGTAATAAAATTAAAAATAGATGTTTTGCTGACATAAGGGTCGTTGTGCGAAGCAGGGAAAAGCTTCCATTGTGTAAATAAGTAAGGTATGTCTGCTTGCTTAATTGTATCTATACAATGCTGTATTTTTAGAATAAAAAAAAGGAGTAAAAATTTACCCGTTCTGTAACTTGTAATAAAAAGTTAATTAGATGAGGAACAATTTATGTATAAAGGGTGATTGCAATGTCTTTTTTCATAGTGCCCGTCAATTTTGCACAGTCGAATCATTGTTACTCAGAAAGTATATTACCTTACAGCTACCTTGTGTCTTAATTTTCTTTTTATTATAACGAAAATGCTTTCCCTAAAAAACTTTTTACATAAGAAAACCAAAATATAGCAATTTAAAATCTTTCTTTCTAAAAAAATAAAAAATTATTTTCAATGCTTTTTTTTTTCCTTTAAATATTGTCATTCGGGTTAAAAAAAATACGCGAATGGTAAACCTTGTTTTTTTATTGTTGTTGGCTGTCATGATAAGGTAAACAGAAATACAAAGCGGAAAAAAAATTTCCAAGGAAATGCAAATACATAACTTATCCGCAAAAATATTAATAAACATATTTATTATTCATATATTATAAATATAATATATATTTATATTATAATAATATATACTTATGTTATAATAATATGTATTTATTATTCATATATTATAATAAATATATTATGAATGATAATTGTGAAATTACAAGTGGCTTAAGTTACGTTTGTTATAAAGCATGTCTTACAAACTATAACAAATTCAATTAAAGTTTTGATTAGATAGGCTCATTTCTAAAATAAATTAGGAATACTTTTTGTAAATTAATGACTTTACAATCATTAATGATATAAAATTCATCAGAAAACCCATTGTATGAAGAAAAGAAAAAAATATCAATAAAAGTTGCGATATAGTATTATTTCTTAATTAAGTTAGAAATATTCAAAAAAATCAACTGAACATAAGATATACTTTGGAGTAAGAAGGAGGAAAATGGGAGGTAGCGGAATTCACTAACATAATTTTATTTAGTAAATTCTGTATTGCTAAGTATAATAATGCGTGGAATGACATTATAAAACTATTTTTCTATGTTTAACTGCTTCACAGCAATACTTTGGTGTGTTGAGCAGGATTCATACAGCTACCATGTCTCAAGAGATAAAACAAATCTGTGCTTGGAGCATTTTTTAGATTTTATTTTCGATATATCGCTGTCGAAAGTTTGGGCTCCGTAATGTTAATTTTTTCTTTTTGCGTATTTCGTCATGTCTCAAGAACTTTTTAAAAGCAATTTGAAAATTTTTTTGCCCACAATTATAAAATTGGTTTATTTAACGATGCGAATATTTCCTGAAAAATTGAATTTTAAGAAATCGTATCGTTAAAATTCTATTTCTTAGAAACCTTTCACCCGATATAGTTCAAAGTTTATTCTTTGTCACACAAAATTTAATTCTTTAAAATGATTTATCAATAATAATAATAATAAATAATTATAAAAATTACTTTTATTCTTGGAAATATTTTTGGATATACTCCTTTTATAATTGTGTCCAAATGTTTTTGATTCGCTTCAAAAGATATTCTCGAGATGTGGTGAAATATGCAGAAAGAAAAATTAGTATTAAATGGGTCAAAACTTTCGACCGCTCTCCTGACAAAACTATTGGCACCATATTTTCTAGATTGTGGCCACTTAAATATATCGTAACTTAAAATATCATTAGCACTAATTAATAAGCTAATTAGCATGCTGGGGACATTCCCGCGAAATATTACATTTGAGCTCTAGTAAGTGGAAAATCCAATTATTAGACCATAAGTTATTCAAGGTGTTCCATAGTACCTTTTATTCAATAAATAGATATTTTTAATTAAATGTGAAAAAGCTGACAATAAAATATTTATAAATAGGAAGAAAAAAAAATAGTGCGTGGAGTCCCTCCGCGCGGAAGAAGTTAAGCTTCGCAACCTGCGACGTTAATTGTAGAAGAATCAGCAGTCGTAGAAGGATCACTAGATCTATTCAACGACTCCTTTTCCTGCTCCGCTGGCTTCCGTGCTCTGTAATCACGGAAATATTGTGCATTTTTCCCTCGTGGACCTTTTGAACCAGTGGAAGTGCTTGTGGTTGCCTCATCGTCTCGCCCTGGAAAATGTATTTGTATTAATAATGTATGTGAATGCGTCATAATGTAATTTCAGAAGAGAAAACCTAACAATCAATTGATATTCACAAGAGACGTACCTTGACATAACCTTAAAT